GCAAAATAGATTTATCGACAATACGCTTGTCGAATTCATATAGGAATAGGAACTAGATAGCTTTTTTTTTTTAGATTCTCATCTATCTATTTCATGGTTCCAAATAGTATTCGGTAAAACTGATCTATATAACCTATCAAACATTTCTTCTAGAGAATAAAAATGTAACCGTCGCACTATCAGAGCCAAACGAACGTAATTTAGTGAATAAGTCACTAGTTAATTATGAGATTCTACATCGGCTCGAGAGAAGAACGAAACATTGTTAATAAGAACGTGGAAACCTCTCCCTAAAAGATGCATTTTAAAACTATGAGGCTGACGACAATACGTAACAAGCTAAAACAAATAATATCTACTAGTGGTGGACTTGGGCTTTACATTAACTGTTGAGGATTATTGGGAGTGAGTCCTTCCGGAATGATCATGGGTTTATACGTGAGAAATACTATCTCTATTGGTACAAGGCGTTTTGGGGAAGCCCAAAACAAAACCATGAGAGCTTATGCTAAAAGTGGACAATATCATACAATTGTGGAGAATCGTGATTCCTAATATTAACATCCGAGAATAGGGGGGAAATTTGGTTCTGAGGGGGAAAATGACAATAAGTTCACATGCTATAACTTACGGTAACTAACTAGTGATGCAGCTTTAAATCTAGTTCGACTGTTTGTCCAAATTCTCAAGCAAAAGTTTGGTTTCTTTAGGTATTATCTCTCTCTTACTATTCAGAGCAAGGGCCTATGGTTTGAGCAATGGCTATGGGAATGTTCAAATGCAGCATCCGATGCTAAAATACTGTTCAGGACTCAAATTTCAGATAGAATTTCGGGGTTAAAGGAACTAATCTCATAAACAAACCTCTATTAACTTCATAAAATTGGCATACAACCCAGCTAAATTCGCTAGAGTACAGTTTCTTCGAGTAAAGAACAGCAAATGAATTGAGGAAATATAATAAAAGCCTTCTTCCTAAAATGTATTCATTACCTCCGAGATCTTCCCTTGGATTTGGAATCAAAATGGTGGGACTTCAGCTTCTTTTTACGCAGCCCAGATGCAGCACCAGCACTTTCTCTGAAAGGCATTCCCATGAGTGCCAAGAGTCGTTGAGCTTCTTGATCAGTTTCAGCTGTCGTTGTGATACAAACGTCCATTCCCCTCGGTCTGCTAAGCGTGTCGAACTTTATTTCTGGGAACACGCTCTGTTCGCGGATCCCGATGGAGTAATTTCCATGTCCATCAAAGCTGTTTGAGTTCAGTCCCTGAAAGTCCCTTGTTCGAGGGAGCCCCAAGTTGATGAGACGATCCAGGAAGGAGTACATCACCTATAAGTGCAGTCAGCAAGCAAGCAGCATAAGAATCAAGTCGTTTTAACATTTAAGACAAGTGCCAGCAGCAACACCCAAAACTTCTTCCATTATTACGACACCAGATCTTTAATACCCCTTAGATTTTTTGTCCTTCCACATACTCGATAATAATTGACACAAGAATCTTGTTCACTAAACAAGTATCAAGACTGTGAAGGAGGAACTTCCTACTCCGAGGCCATTCCTTTGCACTTGTTTTGGACAGTTATATCAAAGAATCGAATTCCTAACATCATTATACAGAGAAATTCACTACACAAAACATGTGAGATCCTACATCGGTTGGAGAGGAGAATGAAACATTCTTTTTAAGGTATGGAAATCTCTCCCTAGCAGACACGTTTTTAAAACCTTGAGGGAAAGCCCAAAGAGGACAATATCTGCTAGCGGTAGGCTTGGGCCGTTACAAATGGTATTAGAGCCAAATACGGGGTGATGTGCTAGAGAGGAGGCTAAGCCAAAAAAGGGGTGGACACAAGGCGGTGTGCCAGCAAAGACGCTGGCCCCGAAGGGGAGTAGATTGTGAAATCCCACATCGGTTGGGGAGGAGAATAAAACATTCTTTATAAGGACGTGGAAACCTCTCCCTAGCAGACGTGTTTTAAAAACCTTAAGGGGAAGCCCGAAAAGGAAAGCCCAAAGAGGACAATCTCTGCTAGCGGTGGGCTTGGGTCATTCCAAAACACATTGACGCATTTACAGACCATCAAAATAATACAACTAGTGCCTGCAGCCACACGAATGATTTCTTCCATTGATGAGATGCTAGTTACCTTACATTATAACAATACACGAGAATCCCACGTCTATTTTGTCCTTTCGACTCATTGATAATGGGCACAAAACTCTTTTTCATTAAACTGAGTATCATGGTGATGTGCATTGAGCCCGTGACATGAAGGAGCAACTCCCTACCCTCCAAAGTCATTCTTTTGCACTTCCATTAGACTCTTATCTCAAAGAATCGAATTCCCAACAACATCATACAAGAGAAATGCACTAGACCAACCACGTAAAAAGCACAACAGACCATCAATGTAATGATTCAATGCTGGAAAGATAGAAATATTAAGGAACATAGGGCATGTTTATGACTAGAAGCATTGAAAATCAGAGCCAGTTCCGAAGATCAAAATGCATTTTCCGTATCAAGATATATCGAACCGAGTAGCACTGAGGACTATAACAGAAGCCAAAAGATCTATAGAAACAATGTCTAGCTGATAATTTCAAAAGGAACAAGTGAAACTCACATTTCCCCGTAGGGTAGCAGCAATCCCAAGTGGTTGACCCTCCCTGATCTTGAAGGTTGCAATGGCCTTCTTTGCACGTGTTTTCACAGGTCGTTGTCCTGTAATGGATGCTAACTCATTCATTGCAGCTTCCAAACCCTTCGCATTCTGCTGAGCATCTCCAATACCACAGTTCACTACTATCTTCTCAATTTTGGGAACCTAACAGAAAAGGTACAGATATTTCGTAAGAAGAATTTGTGTTTAGTCATCATATGGGTTGCCAATTCCTTTTTATGGAGGGCAAAAACACTAAAATCAAAAATCTTTTGAGACCCGGTAACTAAAATCACAGCCAGAAATGAAAAATCAACTTAATCTAGGAGAATGCTGAGTACAAAAATGAATTTGGTCCCAGATTTCAAGGTTCTTAATCCATCGAGGATCCTTATCTTCCATGTGCGTGTAAATACTTGCATACAAACATAGAAATACTCGTGCCTCATTATATTGATGCTCCTTTCTCTCCATAAAATGAAATTGAAAGCCCCCCTAAGCCAAGATTTTATATGCACAGTCGAATTCCATGAATTGACATAAGAAGAAACAATAACAAAAAACAGTTACAGAACACACAAATTAACATTCCGGAACAACAAAAACAATGTAGTCAGAATCCAACCCAACTTCTACAAATTAAAACCCGACGAACTCCAGCGATCAATGAGCTAATAAATCGAGAATTCAATCGACACCACCCAATTTACGCTGTCAGTACCTGGTGGATATTGGAGTATGAGAACTCATCCATGAGCATCGGCACAATTTTCTCAAGGTAGTTTGATTTGAGCCGGTTGACCTTCTCAGCCTCTGCCTTCTCAACAAGCACTATAGCACCTCCGGTCGAGGCTTTTACCCTCACCGACAATGGAGCTACAATGCTAGGGTATCCGAGGGCAGTCGGTGCAGGAAAACGGGCCGAGACTAATGGGGAATGGCCATGAAATGACGACATAGCGGAGCTCAACATCGAAGAAGAAGCCATCGGAGCTTCAGCGATGTTTCTACGTTTCGCGCAGGGAAAGAGGTGAATTAGAAGATAACTTTAGGCAAAGGGTGTTTGTGCAATTCCCAGTCCCGAGTATATCCTCGTATTTCCATGTTATTACGAATAAACCATAACTCAGTAAGGCGATTGATCTTTGTAAAATCGGATAATATCAGGGGTAATTTCGTCACTTGCCCTCTCTATGAATAAAATTGGATAAGGGAAGGTTTCCCTGGACGCCATGCTCGCCTGCTAAGAGGATAGAGCCTCGTTGGAAAAAAAGAATAATGAATAAATATTTTATTTATTTTTATTATGTAAAAAAAAAAAAGTTTTGTCGAGCAGGATCTCACAATTCACCCCATGGGGCCAGCGTTCTCAGCACACCTCCCCGTGTTTAGCTCCTGTCAGATATTGTTCACATTAGTCCATTACGTATCGTCATCTGCCTCAATGATTTAAAATCGTGTCTGCCAATTAGAGATCTTTACTCTCTCATAAAGAATGCTTTGTTCCCCTCTCAACCCGATGCGAGATCTCGTATTCCTAGACACAACATGTTACAAAATGATATCAAAATGAAAACTTTCGCATGATATAGTTCGAGGACGAACCAAAGCAAAGGCCAGTGGACATATGATATTGAAATAAACAAACTTTCACGTTGTTTTTTCCACATAAGAGGATTCGTATTATCTATCCAAACGTGGACCTTTATTTACATTTGCTACATATTATTTATTCTATCGAATAGCCATTACGGGAGTATGAGCTATGCTCGTGTTGATTTTAAACTACGAGAATGATGGGATTCATATATTTATTTATATGATTTATAGTCACTAATATCATCATTAAGCAAATTAAAAATTATTAGCACACTAATGAACTAAATCGTTCATACATTACCACTTATTTATTACACAATATTCTTAAAAAAAAACAAAAAAAAAAAACGAATTAGAATTGGTACGGAGAGGGAGCACCAAATTACAGTTATCGGAGGCTCACATTTATTTAAATGCCAAATTTAATTTTCTGAAGGGGATAAAATTGATGTTCACCACCACGCTTTAAAATGGCGCGTCAAGACAACGTTCAACAATTGTGTTTGGCGCGCGAATAAGGCGTTCAATAATCGTCTTTGGCGCATGGATTACAGAGAGCAACAAGCGCGTGATATTATCACAAACGATGTAACTAGTTAAAGTTTTTTTAGTTTATATTTTGTTCCTCTTTTTCTGATGGATGTGGTTAAGGCTGAAGAACAAAGACCAGAAATCCGGTGCTCAAATTTCTCTCTCGCGTCGATTACTCGGGAAATCCATACATCAAAATCCTAAACGATTCCAATCTGCAAGAAGTTCATGCCCATGGGGGTTCATTTTTGAATAATTTGTGTTTTGGATCCAGGTGTTTCTTGTATTGTTTTTCCGCTATATGTTCGAAAACCCTAGTTTCATTTTGGAGCTCTTGGATTGAACAAAACCCTAGCATTTGTTCTGGTGCAACATCTACGATCACGGGTTATAACGAGACTTTAGTCTGTTTTGGATGGATCATGCGGGAAATGGATTTATGATTCGTGGAAAGCGCGATTCTACGCATTAGTCTGTTTTATGTGGTTGCGATTATATTGAAACAAGTGGTAAACGGGAGTTGGAGATTAATAAATTCTTGCGGAGGGAGCTTGGATTAATGGAGTTTCACTTTTTGATGGATTTTGATGCGCATTCAGCTGGATCAAACATGAGAATGCCTCTGAGTTTGCGTTTTTAATTCTGTCCGACTTGAATTAGGCTCGATTGAAATAACAAATTCGAGGACAAGGTGACGGAGAGAAGTTTTAGCATGTTTCGTGCATTAAATCAAATTGTTCTCTCTAAAGAATGAGCCGGTATATCATTCAATAAGCGTAGAATTAGCGGCAATCTTCGGCGGCTTTGTTTGTTAAGCTCTCGCTATTGTTTAGTAAACTGGTTCTGGTGCTGTTGAAGACTTTTGCATATTGATCGATTGCAGTGGTAAACTTGTTTAGATTAAGCATAGGATCATGAGCCTCAAGAAGGATGATTCGAACGCACACGATCAGACTGCTACAGTACAGCATGATTTACGAAAGTAATTACCTACAATTTGCAGTTTCAATTACAATTCCTGTGGTTTATTTTCTTATTTCTTTTTTCTCCCACATTATTTGTCTTCCACTTTGAATGCTGGCTAGTATTGACTATATTTTCCCTATTGTTTCAGGAAACCAAAGTTTTCTTACACGAGAGATTTCCTGTTGTCCCTCAGCGATTTGAATGTCTGCAAAAAGTTGCCGAGCGGTTTTGACCAATCAATTATTGCGTAAGATGCCCTTTCGTGCATCTGTTCTATTATTCTGATTACTGTTAAATTGTTATTCATGCTCCATATGCATTACTGAAGCCTGTATCCTACTAAAGAAAGAACCAGACATTAGCCTTGTGGTCGTTTTGTTATATTTCCTTGTTGGATTGTTTCTCTAAGCATACGTTCCCCCTTGTGTAGTGAATTTCAAGAAGCTTCCTATGATAAGCAAAGAGTTTCTGGAGGTTTGTCTTTTAGTAGTTTTAGGTGCAATGAGTATGGTTCATCACCACCCAGTAGGGCAGAAACGGGTAATTATTCTCGTCGCATACATGGAAAGAGGGACGTTCATACTTCTGGACGAAGTGATAAGGATAGTGACTCACAATCCGATAGGGATTCAGGTAAGGTCTCATCTTAATCTATTATTAAGTTAAGCAATTACATTCTTCAATACTAATGTGAATTATTATATACTGTTTCGCTTGTTGGGTTCCTGCCGTAGTTGATTTAATTTGAAAAAAATACTGCTGCCTTGAAAAATAATTTAATTCATGCACGTGCATGTAGTATATATTGATAATGATATTTCCGCTTGCTCAAATGCTGCTGAGTCATGGAGCTCTGTCAACATTACTCTATTCCAAAGCAGAGCACCTTGAGAACATGTCATTTGCATTTGATCGATATCCTTAACTGTTGTAGATCGGAGTTTGTTAAAACTTAAAACCAGTCAGTTTAGGGTGAAATTGTTAGACTATTTACCTTTGAAGTATTCATTTTAACAGTGGATTCTGGGTGGCGATATGGCGACCATTCTAGGAGGTCTTCGCAGGGTCCTGAACATGATGGACTTCTTGGTAGTGGTTCCTTTCCTAGACCATCTGGATATGCAACAGCATTTTCGGGACCAAAGGTTCGAGCAAATGATCAGTACCAGCTCAACAGAAGCAATGAGCCATATCATCCACCTCGCCCTTACAAGGTTCACATTATATTTCTGAATCTCTTCACTGGTGAACAAAATTTAAATTAAATTTCTATCCTTCGGTTATGGTTATTCCTTCTATAATACATGTTTTAGCATAACCAGAACTATTTTGCCAACAAAGTTTCAAAATTATTTTGATTAACCTCACCTTATGGACGTTGTTCTTCTATGAATCAGGCCGTAGCCCATCAAAGAGGGAATACTAATGATTCGTACAATCACGAAACTTTTGGTTCTTCCGAGTACACAAGTGACAATAGGGTTGAAGAGGAAAAAAAGAGAAGAGGTAATCACCTCTTCATGATGCTTGATTTACGAACTGGTACATCTACAGATGTTGTTCAAATAACTTTTCCCAACTATAATTAAACTTATTTGCAGCTTCATTTGAGTCAATGAGGAAAGAACAACATAGGGCATTTCATGAAAGTCACAAATCAAATCCTGTGAAGAAGAGAGATGAGTTTGACATCCTAATGCAGCAGGATGAGTCAAAGGATGACGAGAAATTACTGAATACAAACAGTGGTTTCGATGAATCTATCTCTTTACAAACTTCAAAGAATGATCGAGAAAAATCTTTTCCATCTCAGGCAACTGTATCTAGGCCACTTGTGCCTCCTGGATTCACAAGCACTGTATTGGAGAAAAACTCAGGAATGAAATCTTCAGTTAATTCTCATTTGCTCGAGGTGATTATTTGTTTTTATCGTTTTTTTTTTTTGTGGTTTAACTTGGTCTGACACTGACTACGATGTTGTTCCCTTTTCAAAGTTGTCAATCAGAATGACTCCAAACTTCTATAGTGAGCATGCCTATACAGTGTTTTCTTTTCTTTTTGTCATCAGCATGTGTTTAATCATATATCACTATAATAAATGGTTATTCTTCATATTGATATTTTTTGGCTCAAGCGAATTTCCTTTCTCTTTCATTAACTGCACATATATTTGTCATTTTTTTTAGGGTAAGGATGATGTTGACAAGTGTCTGCAAACCAAAGAAGAGCAATTGCTTAATGGGATCTCTGAAAATTTAGAGGAAAAAGGTTCATCAGAGCAAGTGGGTCGCCCTGAACAATCTGGAAAAATGAACATTAATGCTCTGACTAACAACAATAGTGAAAGGATTATTGATCCGTTTTCAGTTGTAGACATGTCTAATAAAACAACTAGAAAAGATGTTCAATCGCGTGAAAATTCTTTGGACGTTTTTGAAGCTTCTGAGAACAGTGCAGTTGTTGATTGTAAGACTGATAAGGTGCCTGCGAATCCAGCCTTTGGTGAACCAAGTCAAGTTCATTCATCTTCAATCTTAGAAAAACTTTTTGGCAGTGCCATAAAGTTAGATGGTGGTGCCACTAATTTTATTGAGGTACTCACGAATGTGATAAATCCTTTTCAGCCATTGTATAAATTTTCTGGTTTTGATCAAAATCAACATCCTATGTGTGGTATTATTACGAGAACTGAGAATCTACATGATCCTAAGCGTTTTGTCCTGCTTAGGTTTCTAAAATGTCATAAAGTCAGGTAGAATGAACTCCCGACAGTTCAATATCTTTTCTGAATTGCAATCTTATCATAGGAAATCATTTTATTGACGAATCATTTGGTCTCAGTTGAGTAGGAGATGAAATTGTTATACAATTTGGAACTACTCTTTTGTTACATATCTTTTCCTTGAATTCTTACGTAGTTATTTTCTGCTCGAGGAAAATAAGAGTCTTCTTTTCTCGTCAGATTTTCATTTAAGATAGCAGCTGGATACATCTACTCCTAATGTGTGTTTTTACGGGTCTTTTGCAGCAGCATGACAATGTGGTGGACGATGCGTGTAGCCCTCAAAATGCTCAATCTTCTAAATTTGCTCATTGGTTTTTGCATAACGGTATGTTGCTAAAATTTCTGTATTCAAAAGATTCCATATATCAGTGGTTTATTCACTGACTAGCTGAGTTTTTGATGCTCATAGCTCATTTTTTCACCCTGCAGATAGGAAACAGGAGGATGACCTTTCACCTAAAAGGTCAATTGACTTGCTTTCTATGATTGTAGGTGGAGAAAAGGGTGGATATGATGTATCCGACGCCAAGCATTCTGAGCAATCTCTGCCTACAGTTGCCTTTCATGGTTATGAATCTGCAGAAAGTTATATCACATCAAGTGCAACAACTTCCAATGTTGCAAAGACTGAGCCGTTTTTTAATAAGAGTAAGCCAGAGGGTGTTTCTGCAATCCTTACCTGTGAAGCCGTTGAACAGTCACTGCTGTCAAAAATCGGCGAAAATGACTCAGCTTTGCAGCTGTCTGATCAAAGATGGAGTCATTCTGATGCATTTGTGAAACATCCAACTGTCAAAAGTGGTGATCATGCGTCACAGCATCTTCTCTCATTGTTACAGAAGGGTTCGAGTTCATTGATTGCAGAATATGGTGATGATGGTGTAAATATAGCCACTGCATTTCACAATAAAAAGGAGGAAAGTACCCACAATATTTCAAATCCAGGGAAGACATTAACTCTTGAAACACTTTTTGGGTCTGCCTTTATGCAGGAGCTTCAATCCGTTGGAGCTCCAGTTTCAGCACAAAGGGGTTCATCAGGTTCTGTCATAAGCGATGCTTCGGATTCTCATGGTCCAATCACAGATGATGGTCTCTTGTCCAACAATGAAATTCGGTCCAGTATGATTAATCACGATCATAGTGATGAAAGACAGCAAAACCAACCAGATATGGTTTGTGGGCATCGGTTAAATCTGAATGGCCCTCGACCTGAATCGGATTCTTCTCATCCCCATGCAAAGTTAGGACATAAGATTGGCAGACCAGCCGAGATGCCCTTTCCTGAAGAGGATAGTTTAATCATAAGCGATTCTATGAATTTTCAAAATCTCATTTCTATTGGGAATTCTGCCAAACCTCATCCACTGTTCTCACACAACACACAAGACAATAATGCTGCAATGTTTAACCCTGCCTTCAAAGATGAAAGGCAAAGTATGGGAGGTCTGGAAGGGCTACCTTTTTCAGCCAACCCCTATGATAGGAGGGAGGCCGAACTGCCACATCTGAAAGCTCCTGTTCATTCCTCCTTTTCCCAGCTTCTTCCCCCACAAACGAATAATGGCAAGTTGTTTCATCAATTTGAATCTCATCCTCCTAACATGAACCCTCGGGGAGATTTAATGTTGCCAGAAGGAATGATTCATCACGACTCCCCATCTAATCATCAATTTTTGGCAAATATGCTTCGACCTCCTACCGGTGGATTATCTGGATTTGATCATTCAATTCACCACCCGATGATGCAGCAGATTCAAACTTCAGCCAATCTTCTACCACAGCATCTACTACAAGGGTTAGCTAGAGGTGTAGCTCCGCCTTTGATAAACAGAAGTGTACCTCTACATCCTCACTCTGTCAGAGATAGTGCAGCACCTCCACAACCCAACCATCAGGTTGCTGGTTTACTGCAGGAACTCAATTCAATCCAAGGGTTTCATATTGGTCAGCATGTGCCTAACATTGGCGGTCCCAGAATACCCTCGCCAGGTACCTCTCATGATATCTTGCTCGCTCTTCAACTGCTATTTTGTTCACTTTTTAATGTGTATTTTACTGATGAATTAGTTTCCATATCCTTCTACTTCCCTTGCCATTATTTGTTTATATTTTCGCCAAATTGATATGCCCTCTATTAAATGCTGCTGTTGATTGAATAGTATCTCATTTTTGTCTTATTGTGCATGAGACACTCTTTACTTTTCCCCAACTTAGATCTATTTTGTGATGAAATTACTCCCTATGCCTGCCTGCTTTGGAGTGCTTGTATTGCTTTGAATACATCAAGCAACATACATTCAAGGCAGTTGATTATATTACTCACTGTGCTATAAAAAAGATTATACTGCTTATTGATCTCTTATTTAGAAGGGTGGGTCTCCTTTTTTATTATTGTTTCTCGTTTAAATTTCAGCTCCTGGTAACCAACCAGACGCAATTCAGAGGCTTATCCAAATGGGACAGAGAGCAAATTCGAAGCAAATTCATCCTTTTTCTGCCAGTGGTGGCCATGGTCAGGGGATGTATGGTCACGAGTTGAACATGGGTTATGGGTACAGGTAATTGTAACACTGTACTTCGAGCATACTTGTTTAAATCCTCAATTCCTTGATAGAAAATGGATACCATTTGCTCATCTTACTAGGACTGAGTGAGAAATATAAGTAAAGAATCCTTCTTGCGGCTGTTTTGTTGATTTCTCTTTTGCTTATTCCCTTTATGGTATCTTACTCGAAACAAGATCCTAAGTAACCTGAAAAAGTGAAGTCAGTAGGCGAACGAAAAAGCGCAACTAAGCAGTGTTTCATTGTTTGGCCATTTTAAGAAATAGACTTGTTTGCCATAGGGATCCATTTTTAGTAGTGAGACCGTTTCGTTGTCTCTCGAGGAAAAATACAAAGAATTAGGGCTCCTCTTTGCGAAAATTGGCTCGACCTTACTTCATATGCTGGATTGGGATCCTCCATTGAAGTCTCAAGGAAATGAGAATGTGAAGTTCAGAAGTTAGAGCAAGTGCAATTGATACAAATTGGTACGAATTCTTTGAACCGAGTTTGAACTTAACGTATATTATCTCCTTTTTTTTTTTTTTTTTTTTTTCCTTCCATAAAGGGGTTTAAACTATTCATACATGTGCTATTTAACAATATATACACACACATACACACAGCACAATAATTACTGCCATTTATAAAAGTACAATATACAATATGTGAACCATGCCGAAGTATAAGGATGTTTCAGTTGAGTTATTGAGAAGGATCATTCTAAAACAAAGGGTGACCAAAGATGAGCCTGCTAGAGACTTCAAAGCTCTTCGAAGAATATTCATGATTTCGAATCAGAACAATAAGAACAATCAAGGTCAATACACAAAGCATGCAAACAAAAACCAAAAGAAAATTAACTAAGCAGATTCACAAATAAGATTACTTTATGATCCAATCTTATGGAGGGTATGGTCTTGTTCACATTATTAATAAATATACAAGACACCAATGTAATACAGTATGAAACCTTGCATATGGCACTCAAACCTCTATACATGACGATGATTTGCTGGGAACAAACAGGGAACAAAAGCACTTTTATCTACACTGCTTTATGATCAACTTCAAACCATTTACAAGGATAGGATATAGTTGAGAACGGTCGCCAGCACGACTAGCTCAATATATGTCCACATAATGTATTGAGCATATACAATAATATGCCATAAGATCAACTTCCTTTCCTGACTTCTAGTTCATTTGATATTATCGTGCAATGGGTTTGCACGCTTTTGATCGGTTAGCTTCATTCCAAAAGAAGTAAAAATGAACAATGCTCCGAGTGCTGAACCTTATTATTTTTTAAGCAGATAGAATGGTATTGTGTGATCTGACATTGTATAGACTGTTATAGAGGCTACCAGCTTTAGCTTGCTTCATGCCTTCATCATATGATGAAATCAGTCTTCTCTGCATTAAATTGGTAAATGAATTATAAAAAAATCAGTATCTCTAGCTCTTGATAACCAAATCGTGTAAATGAAAACCCCAATAATAGATGAGTGTGACATTACTTTTTCTTTGTTTTTTTGGTCATTTAAAATCCCGTAACCTTAGGGATATGATCTCCCCATTTATTAAATTAACATGAAAATGTAGAGAAATGGTAAATTAACATGAAAATGTAGAGAAAATGGTAAATTAACATGAAAATGTAGAGAAAATGGTAAATTAACATGAAAATGTAGAGAAAATGGTAAATTAACATGAAAATCTCGAGTAGCACTATGAAGACTATACATGGAAAAAAATCATAAAAGAACTTACGTGGTTTTCAAATTCTGGACTGATCAAGTTGATGGCAAGATTTTGCATTAAAAGCAGTGCCTGGGAGAAACAAACATATGTTTAGCACATAACTAAAGCATTTTTAGTGGTAAAGAGATCAATAACAAGAAAATTTAGATCCAGAAAGTAAGACAGCCGCTACATTTTTATCCTCACTGCCACCAATGCACGATAACCAATCCATATGATGTACTAGATGTTAAAATTATAGAGTGCATACCGTTTCTAAATTTATTGGGTCCATCTTCCTTAATCTCTGAAGATGACCCGACACACTGGGATCAAATACACTGCCAATAAAGCTGTAAACTTGAGCAAAATCCGGCATTACTGAAGCGAAGCAAAATAAATGATGTTAGTGAAGTGTATATATGAAAATCCAGAAAGCCAGAAAAACAATATTCCGGTTTTCCTTATGAAGAATGATACTTCTGTTCGACCATTATTAATTGAAGTGAAAAAATACTTATGCATAAGGGAGTCAAGAATTTGTTTCCAAAATTCCAAGGCTCATGGAGGATATCAGGTCCTTGTTGCACCATTTTTAATTTTTACATACAAATAGAATGGTCTATTAGAGGAAAATATTATGTAGAAACTAACATCCAAGAATCCTATTAGAAGAGGAATAAAGCATGAATTGGCAATAATGCAAGCAAAATAATTGTAATCATAGTCAAATATTTTAGAATTTTCAATTGCAAACTCAAAGCCTATTATGCATAGAAAATTGAAGGCATACCTATGTTTCGCATGCTTTGATCTCCTTGGTCAGAAATTTCTCCAATTTTCCTTGTCCGTGAAGTGCTCCCACTACTGCTGCTATGTGATGTTGGTCCAGCTAATTTTACACGATCTAAAAACAAAATCGTTAGTTTCAAAGAAAATCTAGAGTGACGTCAAAATATGGAAGACACCTAAAAACAGAAAAATCTTTGACAGTAAGAAGGAAGATTGATGGCTAGAACCTTTGGGTACTTGGGAAAAATCAATGGTCGGCACTGGACTACAGCTCCAAGAAGCATGTGGACTGGGAAGTCCAAACCCTGCTGTTGAGTCTGGAATGTAAGTATATCTTGGTTCAAATGGAGTAGATAAAGGTGGATACATCCCAGGACTCTGAGTGGTTGCTGGAACCATCAGAAATTACACATCAGGCCAGGTGGTTTTTATATGATAGATCAACTCGCCGAAGCAAAAAAAATTCACTCACCATTCTTCGGAGCTTTTTGTGGGTATGGATGAGATGCTTTCTTCTTTGGTCGAGGAGGAGGTACATGCTCGCTTTTCCCACTTTTTTGAATCTTTAGAAAATATTTTTGAGCATGACTGCGAATCTGCCAACGACAGAACTCGCGGTTAAGAATCGCTGAAGAGTTCATCAGTAAAACAGGCTGGAATAATTTGAATACTATTTACTAAACTTGATTTACAGAATGCTACAATCATCCAATCCTCACAAACACTGAGTTTTAGGAATTTTAAGGATTGGTACAAAGTCATCAAAATAAATTGAAATCTTAGGTTGGAAGATGCCATATAATTTAAAGATCAGCACTACCAAGTTTTGAACATTCTTCCTCGATCCTCCAAAGAAGAAGAGCTAGAAGAAAATAAGGAAAATGTAAAGGGCGGGCGGGTGGAAACAACACTGTTAAAAGGAGTTCCATAATACTGCTACAGAAATTACCTGGATAACTGTTTTTGAGCCAACAAATGCTTCTATCTTCTTCCAGTCACGATCAAATCTGTAAGGGGCGTAGAAATAATACGTAAATAACTACATAGGAAGCAAGGGCAAAACCAAGATCCTATAGAAATAAAACTTCTCATACAGCATTGGTGATATTGATTCCAGATACTAATTTGCAGCCACCGTAAAGGCGTCCTTGGCAACTTCCAAAGAGGCCTAGATTGTTAAGGAACCACTTAATCACTTCATTTACAAATTTCTCACAATAAAACCAACCTGGCTTTTCTATTAGGCCTAACAATTCTTCCCCGCTCTGTTAATATTAAACTTTTCCATGTCACCCACTCGACAATTTCTTGGATAAATTTGGAGGTTTCAACTTGAAATGCAGAGGACCAAATTTCCTTGGTCCTTACATCGTCCAAAGGACTGAAACCCTATGATGTGACTATCCAAGTCTTCGTGATAGAATCAGATTGACAAATTCCAAACTACTCATCCGAGAAAAAGTAAACAACAAAAAAAAAGGCATCGCAAAAGGTAAATGGATTGTGGCCTTTCCACATTTTAGATTGAGAGAAAGGAGTGTTTCCCCCCAGAATTTCGTAAGAATTTTCCACAAACTTTCAAGAACAAGAAATGCAAGCGAGAGAGTTCTGACACGAGAGGGATGATGATAAAAGGTACACAGGATAGTGGGAAAAAACGAAAAAATAACTCGATTTCAAGAACAGGCGTTCACTCAATTTGATACAGAACTGTAAGAGGCGATCGTACGATTAGCCCAGACTTCTAACCTGCTTCGGAAACAAGATCACACAGTCCCCTGTGTTCTAGTCACTGTGCTAATTTAAATAATTTGACCATACCTCCGGCAGGGAGGTTGTGGTAAAGGAGTCATACCGACCTCAAGAACTTGGGCGCAAAAACATTATTCTACAGCTACGTGCGCGCCTCGAAACTAGAACCGTGATGCTCACTAATGCGTAGAGAGGACGCGGATTTCCCTCAATAACGTCTGTATCGGTTAAACAAGGACTTACCTCTGTTTATAAACATAGATTAACATAAACTAAGAAGGATAGCCCGATCAAAAATATTGTATAGCAGGGATTCAAGTTCCAGCACCTTAGGTCTAATCAACTAAAGAGCGTTCAGAAGACAGCGAAGATCCTCTATTTCCTCATCCGAAATTGAAAAGCAGAATTCACTGGTCAATGCACGGAATTCCAGGTATTCAAACACTCAAAGTCATTAAACACAAAAACTGTGCTCAAATGTAAAGTAACAGAGAAATCAAAGAAAAAACTAAAAGTGAACTCCTCCTCCAAACTTCTCTCGGCCTATCTAGAAATTTTCTCCGCTAAAGAAACAGTGATACATAAAATATCCACAAAACTGAATTGAATTCCCAATCAGACAAATGAAAAGGCATCACTCACAATTGAAGAGCTTCAAGAAACTTGTCGTGCTCCTGCTCCGTCCAACTCTCTCTCGACTTGGTAATAGTATAGGGCTTTCGGATCTTCTTACTCGCATCCTCCGAGACCGGGAAGGAAGCAACACAATTAGAAGTGGAAGTAGGCGGAGCAGGAGTTCTTAGTGAAGCAGTTGGAGGTCGAACAGAATCAATACCAGGAAAATAGCTCATACTCATCGAATCTG